GAGTGGTAGCGAGGCGGTGTCTGTGGAGGGCTCCACGCCCCATAGCTGAAGTGGATGGTGAGAGGTTTGAATGGCCAGCTTCAACCACTGATCTGGACGGTTTCTCTCAAACCTGGGTTAGAACTACCTGGGGAGACTGGCAAAACCCAGCAGGCTCTACTCCCAGAAGTTCTGATTCTGTGGGTCTGGGGTGCGACCTGAACACCTGTGTGGCTTTTTGTTTGTTTGCTTGTTTGAGTTCCCCAGAAGGTTCTAGTTTATAACCAGGGTTGAGAACCACTGGATCTACTACTTGAGACTTCTTCATGCAGTTAGATGTGCTCCCTTGTCAGTTCCCTCTCGAGTCACCACTTTCTAAGTCAGAAGGTACATATGTGGGGCAGTAACTAAAGATAGGCTCCAGTTGCAAACTCAGGTGAATTTCTTGACCTCTTTTAGTTTTGTCATCTGCAAAAAGTGGGTAATAATAGTGCCTACCCCATAGTGTTTCAAGAATTAAGTGATACGATGCATGTGAAATACTTAGCACAACCCCTAGCACATACTTTCAATTATTTATGATTTAATGCCATGCAGCATGTTTTAGGAGAGTGGTAGCTTTGGGGTCCGTCCCTTCTGTTTCAGTCCTGGCTCTGTAACTTTTCAGGCCTGGGACCTTAAGTAAATTTCTAATTTTCCTCACTCTATGGCCTCTTGTCCACAAAAATATGAGTAGGTGAGTGCAGTTACTAGTGTGGGAAAGTGCTTAAGACAAGGGAAGTGCTCAGTAAGCCTTTCCACCATCTTCCCTTTCGTTCCATTTTCTTAACACACCCAAGTGCCATAGAAGCATGATTTCAAGAACGTCATGGACTTTGCTGTGGCCAGACTGCATTGAGACGATATTACAAATGGCCCTGTGGCTGGGACTGGCTGTTGGGAGCACGTTCCTTGGGGAAATGGCTGTGGGAGTCATGGCTGAACCACCTGCCTTTCCAGTTCATCAGTTGGTTCATGTCTTCAGTTGGCATCGTCTGTGCCTAACTTGGGAGGACCGTGTAAGTCTTGAGCCAACATACAGGCTGGGATTCTGCCCTTTTCAATTTTGATCAAGCTTTGATTGAGATGTAAGTGTATTCTGGGGCTTAAAAAGGACCCAGGGTCTTAGCACTCTCTACTGGACCATCTGCTAGATCCCAGCCTCGGTTGTTTTCAGTCCATAATCTCTTAAGATATGTGGCCTCCAGGTACTTATGGAACTTTATGGCTTCTTAGGATTGTAAGAAATCTAAGTCTATTTTCTAGCTTCACATCTTCATATTCTACTCGATCATCTGGAATGAGAAAAGGACAGCGGCTGAAGGAGACAGGAAGTTGTGTCATCAACTGAATTCTCAAGGAATGAATAAAGTTGGTGGTTCTGGTCGGTTCCTGCTTGTAGTGGAGCAGGTCATACTTCCTTGGAAGTATGATTGAAGTGATTCCGCCTTTCTCCTTCTAGTTCTCTCTCCCCTTGGTAGCCCTAGTACTTGAACTCAACCCAAGGAGAGCATTAAGACATGTCCTTTAAAGGCCAATAAAAAAATGTGCCGTAAGTCTGTCATAGAGTTTATCGATATTTTCAGCAACTAGAATGAGTTCCATGCTTGGTTCGGACCCAGACTCACAGATATTATAGTTTAACTTTAGTGGACACCTAACTTTAAAAAACCGTGAAGGTAATATATGCTAACCAATTATTCTTTTGAGTTATGCTGTTATTTTTTCTGGAAGTTTGTGAATATTAAAGGGTTGTAAATTTTTAATACATGTTTAAAATATGAGGCTTGCCTAGAATCATTTAGGGAGTCCTTTTTCATGGTTTATTAAAAAGGAAAGGAAAGGAAATAAATTTGAATTGAAATCTAATTTTATTTGTATTGTTAGCAGTCTTCTCTCTATGGTGTATGCGTGTCTTTCATGAAAGAATCATTACATCTGACATAAGTAATCCTAGGAAACTGGGAGTAAGGGGCAGGGAGGAATCATTGCCTTGCCCGAGCATTGTGTTTCTGAGACCTGAGGGTGAGAGCCATTTAAAACAGGCCACCCTGCCTCAATGGGACCAGCCACCCAAGGTTATAGAGTACGTTGATAGGAAATGGGGATCAAGAGAGCGAATTCATGGGTGTAAAGTGTTCTTTAGATCCATGTCTTCTGGTGAGTGGGTCCTAAGTCAGGGGTGAGCCAATGTGGTGGTCATATGCGTGTTTGTGGAGGCTCCCATGGTGCCTGGCAAGGAGCTCAGTTGGGGCTTCATGAGTAGTTGTGAAAGGAATGGGAGTTAATCTCCAGAGGAGCAATTAGACGAAGCTCTTGAATCCTGAGAGGAGAAATAAAACCAAGGGATTCAAAGGTAGGATGAACGCAGCTCAGTGCTCTACAAGGTATTGGAGAGAGCATACCAAAAAGGAGACAGGAGCTTTTTCAACGGGGTTCTTGTAACAGCCCTTCAGGTAGGTGCTAAGAGAGCGATTTGGCAGGTCCTTTGGAGCAGGGACTCTCAGCTTCCTGTAAGGTGGCCCTCGGCGTTTCCCTGATGAAATGAGGCAACAGTCCTTTCCCAATACCTGTTCAAAATGAGGTAACAGATTATCCCTCCACGCTCTTCTTTCATTAAGTCTTTGGCACTTGCTCCTTTTACACCTTACATAGAGTGGCCTCTTAAAAAAAGTACTGAGTTATGGTAGTTATTTCAAGTTCAGCAATAATGAGTATTTGACAGGGCTCTGCAGAGAGCTCTGAGGCTTCCCCACACCCAGCTGAGTTTGAGAGCTGCCTTCTCAGAGCCTTAATGAAACAGAGCTCCCCTGGGCCCAGTTAGGGAGGGCTTCACAGGAGGCTCTGACAACAGATCCAGGTACCGTGTCCTGGGGAGGCAGCTCTTCTGTTGCGCTTGTGGGTTCCCTGTGGGCTTGTAGCTTATCTAGCACTGTTATCTAGTCAGCGTGGAAGGATCCCATTGCTTTATTTACTCGATTTACCAGTCTTTGCAAACAAGCCATCCAGGGGGCAGCGGCTGTGCAGTGGGATTGTGTGAGTGAAAGCCCAGGGCTGCGAGAGCCAGGCTCAGGTTGGCAGAGAGAAAGGAAGTGGTTTGCTTTCTTTCGTTCCCCTGCTCGGTTCTCTAGAACTTGTTCCTACCTAAACGCTCCCTTTTTAACTAGACCGTAGGAAGTGTTTGCTTTTCTGCGCCGATTCAAGCAATTAGATGAGTAATAAAGATTGTCAGTCCTGGCCTGCCGTATTGATTTTTAAAAGTCTGTCTGTTGAGGGGGCAAAATTGCTTATCATGGTGATTCATCTTCAAATTATAAATTTGGTGCATATACAGATTTTAAGTGGCTCAGTATTTCAATAAGTGAATACATTACCGAGCCTCGGATGACAGAAGGCCTAGGAAGAGCCATTGGAAGTGCGTAGAGTCTAGACCGGAAAGGGTAGGTGGATGTTTTATTTATACACGGGAATTTAAAATGGCCTATCTACCTCATGAATTTCATTTTCTTTGAAGCCATTGTGAATCTTTAGCAGAGCGTACCAACTGGCATTTTTGGATAAAGGGTCTATTTATCTATTTTAGTTTAACGAGAAGGGAAGAAGTGTGGGAGGCAGGTGGAGTGGGCAAGAGGCAGAATGGGAATTCTGTCTTATATTAAATTCTGGTAGAAGGTTCCTAGGCTGGAAAGCGATGATTGGCAGGGTATGTTGTGTAAATTTAGCAGATTCTAAGAAGCGGAGGCAGCAGACTAAGAACTATGGGATCTGAAAGACAGCAAGCCTAGGATTTAGAGGTGTGAGAAGCGTTTCAAACATAGGTTGAAAGCTCAGTGAATAGGAGTTCCTCTGTTCTTTTTCCTATGTGGGAAATGGTGATAATTCTCTATTGTGCTTAAGCTTGTGTGGGTGGTGGTGCTGCGTCCTGGATTGTTAGGTAGGAAAAAGTAGCTCCTACATTAGTGATAATGGAGATATAAATATCTACAAATAAATGAATAGAAAAATAAACATCGCTGTGCTAGAAGCTGTGAAAGCAAAGCTGTATAAATTGCCAGTATTCTCTCCAGGAGCTTATGGATTAGTTGGGGGCAAATGCGCACTCACAGCGAGACAACCCACTGTGCAGAGCACCCAGGGGCTGCCTCATGAACAGTTGAAAGACAAAGACAGACAAACCCTAGTGAACTGGGGTGGGTGGAAGGAGCTTTGCCTCAGAGGTGACTGCACAAACCTGGGCTTCAGAGTCTGTTGGCTTTCAGGAAAGTATCAAGGGAGACAGAGGGATCTCCAGCGTGGAAAGTGGTGTGTGCAGAGGCAGCGTGTGAGTCGCAGGTGCTTCTGATGAGTACAGTCTCAAACAGTCAAGGAGCCGGGCAGGGAGATGGGAAGTGGATACTGGAAACCTGCTGGCAGGAGACTGGTAGGCCCCGCCGGGCGGCTGGGGGTTGGATTGACGCACGTAGGCAATACCAGACCTGTTGTAAGTTGAGGGGGCAATTTAGAGACATTTGTTAGGTTGAGGTTTGCGGGATGGCCTGAGAGGGGGTGACCAGAGAGCGGGGGAATCCGTGGTGAGGCTGAAGCAGCCGTGAAGGTGGGCGGGGATGAAATCCCGAGTTAAATTGCTGAAAGTGGACAGGAAAGGGAAGGGAGACATGGAATCAAAATCACATTAAGAATAAAGTGACAAGTACAAAAACATCCTGGTCTTTCTGCTGCACTTTGTAAATTTGTACTCTGTAGATCGAGAACCGTTTAAATGGCATATCTTGTCCCGTTGGAGTGAGTGTTACCTGTGTAGTATTTACCTTGAGTGACAATAAGGATGTTGCTAATCTTTGATGGCCCACGACTTGAGATTTAAGCTCTTCTTTCGTCATGGACCGTTCACTAATGGGGCACCCCTTGTTGCGTATCGTGCACCATTAAGATACAGCTTCTTCTAGTTAGTTCTAATTTTTTCCCTTTTTCTTTTATAATAGACTCTCTCGAGAAGAATTTCCAACCCATACCTTGAACATACATCTTCCCAGGTATGATTCTTTTCTCTCCGACTGTATTTTCTGAAACAGTGATTCACAGACCCTTATGTGGAATTCTCCAGTTGGGGCTGCCCCTTTGCTTCTGACCATGCCATCTCCTTCAGTTAGGACGGCGCAGCTGGAGGGAGATGAGCTGTCCTGATAACCGTGTCAGAATTCAAGATGTCTACCAGATGGGAAGAAAAATATTTCCCATCTGCCAAGTCCTTTGCATGAATGCATTATCCGTGTAGCAGAGTTAGTACTTAATATAAGTGTTTTCAATTTTCTGTATGGAAACACTGAATTTTAAGAGTAGTGGATATTTTACACTGACAACTGGCAAGTGGATTATTTGTACTTACAACTACTAATATTACTAGAATATCACCGTGTGCTAATTGGTAAGAAAAGATGTTTTTGTGTTGTGTTAAAGAATCAGTCAACAAAGAGTTGCATTTTTCAGAGTAACGGGAGATCATGATCTTTGCGAGAACAGAGGCCTTTCTGGCCTTGTTCCATTATCGTCCCCTTTCTGAGGCCTGATAGCAGCTCATTACATGGTTTTTCTGAACGACTGAGTGACCAGGTATTGGTACCTGACGCACCTCTCTTATGGTGATAGTTTCTGTCATCTGACTTGTTCAAGTTTGTTTTGTTTTTTTTGGTGTTTAAGTTTTAACATGTTAAAAATAAATGACGTTCCGTTCCCCCTTTCTCAGAAGGTTGTGTTTAGGAAGCAATAAAGATAAAATTAAAGAAGCATAAGGGTGGGGTTAACATGTTCCCTGTCAAGTTATAAACAATTATTATCAATTTGCTTGCTTTGAGAGAAGACATGTATATTTTATAGGGACAGAATTCTGTAGGTGCAAGAAGAGTTCACCAAGAAACAAGTACATGGGGGAAAATAGGGACATCTGTAATAGTGTCAACAACACAAAATAAAGAAATAATAAATTAAAAATGGAAAGAAACAAGTAAGCAGATATGAATGCATTCCCATGCTGTGTATTAATTTTCATGACCTTCACCTGTGAAGACAGTTCACTGTCACTTGGCCTGCTGTGTTTGCCCAGCAGCATGGCGCTGTGGAGGGAGGGGCCGGCCCCGGGGAAAGGAGGAAGCCTTAACGGGCAGACACCTCTCTGGATCTAAGGAACACGCTCCGTCATCTTTTGGGAATAAGAGACTCATATGGGCAAATTATAAGATTAAAAAAAGAAGTCAAATAAAATTTTGACCTGCCAGATGGAATCGTGGAGTAGATGAAATCAGGATTCTTGGAATTAGCTATGAACTCTGCAGCTGAGTGAAGCTTCAAAGCAAAGCAGACAGCAGCCTGCTATCAAATCGCACCCTGGCGCCATGTTCACCAGATAGGACGAAGTTATTTCCCCATCCTCTGACCTTTACATGAATGTGACATCCACACGACAGAGTTATAATAAAAATATTCTTCGCCGTGCTATATGGATAGAAACACTCTGATTTTAAAAACAGGATATTTTACACTAAAATCTTTGTGTAAAAAGGAGATTATTTATAATTATAGTTAAAGCAGTTTAGCCTATGGAAAATAGCTATCATGGCTTCATAGCATAAATGAACCAATAGCAAATGTAAAATAAGTAATTGTGTTTGTAGCCACATAAGTGTCTTAAGCTTATGGGTTTGGTCATGATCCTGTACATAGAATGTACTCAGAAATTGCTGCATTAGTGTTCTAAATTTACAGCAAATCCTTGTTTTTTTCCACTTAGATTTATGGGGAGAATTCTTCGTGTGCAGGAAGAGCACTGAGGAATATTATTATCGTTCAGGCAGCTGACCTGATAAAGGACAGAGTGAACCTCAAGGGATTTTACAGGTAACACAGTTTTCTAACACCTTGTCAGAAATTCTCCTTGTGAAAAAAAAAAACAACTGTGTTAAAATCATAACCTTGATCACAGAGAAACAGGCTACATCAGTAGTAGGAGGGGTTGGTCAGTCTATTTGAAGTGTCCATTTGGGACACTGGTGGTGACTTATCTCTTCTTTAAACTGAGCTCAGTGTTTGTCGGCAGTTGGCCGGCTGGTTCTGCAGTTAAGGTCTGGAATCTGGAAGTGCGAGTGGTTTTGGGAAAGCCTCTGCTTTCTCTGACATGGGATATCTTATAATAATTTTACTGGACACATGCTGCCCTGGGACATCAATAAATATAGGTCCCCTCTTCAGGGACCTTATCAAGGCTCAGGGAGGAGTCCTGGGAGGTCCATGGGCTGAGAGAACTGTGGCTCCACCGCCAGGTGAGCGTGAGCATGCTCCTCGGGTGCTGGGAGGAGGGGAGGGCAGGTCGGCAGGGGGACAGCCTTTCTTGGCCTTGGGTAGTGAGAAGGGCAGAGGCATTAGAGTAAATGGACAGGCTAGTGGCCAGTGTTAAAGTGCAGCTGGACTAACAGAATGGGCACTCAGAAAGTTTGGAGCGCATTTTCATTTTCTGGTACAAACTGAAGATAGAGTGAATTTTCACCTTTTTATTTTTTCTTCATAAATTTATTATTTTTAAGTAAAGATACTAAACTACACCAAACAATACCAAAAGAGAACCACAAATATAAAACAGAAAGAAAAACTACTATGATTTTTCACCATTATTCTTTCTTATAGAAATGAAATTAGAATACCATAAAGAATAGGAAGAGTATTCAGCATAAGTGACAGCCAAAAAAAAAAAAAAAAGGAAGAGTCCCAGAATAAACAGCGTTTCTTTAACTAAATTTAGACATGTCTGATTTTTTCTTTTTTTTTTTTTAAACAAAAACTGTGTAAGTCTTTAGGTTTGGTTGTGAGCGAGCTCACAGGATTCATTTTAGCTACCACATAAGGCTGTGTCTGACATCTCTCATTTTCTGTTCTGTTTGGTCATGTGGTCTCTCTGGATATAGACTGGAAAAAGAATCGAGAGCTGTACGTGAGTGGGGTTCATGGGAAAGAACCATCCACGCACATTAGAACGTGCTGGTGGGAACAGAACAGGGAGAGAGCATGTATTTTGCTGTTTCAGATTCCTGATGGTGAGGCCAGAACCTCCTTTCTTCTAGAATTTAAGGACTGATTAATGTCCTGGGTATAAAGACAAAGGGCTAATATGATGGCCCAGTACGGGTCATCTTCTTGGGACTGGTAGTAAATTGAGGTAAAGTATCCTCAATGTACCACATGAGATTACTTTCAAAACTGGTCTCTGAATACTACCACCCCATTTATATTCAAAATGAAGATCGTTTCTACACCACCATGAATCAGTTGCTAAAAATGTAACCAGAGACAGAAGGAAGCTAAGAGATATTAAATGCTTCACTCCAGAGATTGCTAACATAATGCTTTATTACAGCGTTGTAGCCTGGCAGCTAATCACCTCCATATCACAATGTCCCTGCCCAGTGTGCTGCTGTGGTTGGAGCCACACGGCCTCAGAACCGTGCTCACCTCATTATTAACTAGTATCAGGGCAGTGCTGTGTTTTAGCTTATTGCCTCAGCCCTGCCCCGCCCCCCGCCCCCCCCCAAAGCAAGCTCTTCCCATGACCAGGTAGAGCTGGGGATGGGGTGGGGGTGGGGTTTGTGGTCACCATCATCACTGGGGAGTCAGTCAGAACTGAGGACTCACAGGCCCTGCCCAGCTGGACTGATTTTGAGAAGCCGTAGTCTGAGATGTTTCTTCCACATCACCTGTGACCAAACATGCACACACATCTGTCTAGACACCCTCTGGGATTTGGCAGTTTAGTTTATTCAGAAAACGTTTCGTTGTTGTCCTTTCATAGGACAGAGAGTAGGCTGAGGAGCTGTATTGTTCTGAGAATCAGGATTAAAAACGATACAGTGTTTGATCTCTGTGATAACTGCGGCCAGCAATTAGTTAGAAGATGCTGGCTAATTGACAGAGGTGTTGAGGAATTAATTAACACTTGGAGCCCTTAACGTGAAAGGTGTCTTATAGAATTAGAAGTTAATATTGGCCTAATTGCCTGTTTTGTTGTGATCTGTTTTCTCATTTTGTTTTAAAAAAACACTTATTTATTTGACTGTTAATCTTTTAAATGACTTAATGCTAACTGCAATTAAACATGTCTAGTATTGCCCTAATTGAGTATCTTTCAAATACTGACACTGGGCCAAAACCCCCCACAAAATTGATGCATTTTCAAAAGTTAGAATATCTGATCAGATATCTCAGCAGAAAAACTCATTTTTTTCTTTACCCCGGAAAATGTTGCACCTCGTGGCATTTTTTTTTTCCATGTTGTTGGTTACCATGTGATCTGCCGGTATTTGCGCCCATGCCAGCCACAGGAGATGGGCAGTGTTTTCTGTTTTAGGAATGCAGGTAAAGGTGACATCTTTTGCTCCTTAAATACCAAATATAGAAGAAACGTAGCCATTTACATGATACATCATTAAAAAAACATTTTGGTGACAGTTTCTCATAAGGGAGAGTGGGACTCAATGAACTTTTTGCAAATGGAAAACCATTTTTCAGAATGTTTTCTTCCTTTGGTGTTTCATCACGGACTGATAAAGATGGAAAAGTAGGCAGAAAGATACTTTTTGTGATGCTAAGATTGCAGCGTTCTTTGAATATAGTTGTGTATTTTAAGACAGATTACAGAGAATATCTTGTATGTGTGTGGTCAGTGGAATCCTTCACACGCATCTGGGTCTCTGGGTTTTATGATTTAGGTTGCTTAGTTTAGGTTGCTTGGAGTATACTAAAAAGATTCACCATCCAATTTATTGTTCTTTGAGACAACTTTTAGGTTTTAATATCTGAAAAGTAGCAAACAAAATTCTATACCACTCACTGTGGTCCCAACTTTGTCTAGCCTTCTCGGAATTGTTTTGTTCTCATGAAAGAGACAAGGTGAGTATCTCTGAATGATTAACCCAAGTTTATCACCACCGGCGTGAGGTACTTGTCTTACCAAGGCAGCAGCATTATCTTTATATAAAGGACTGGTAAATTTATTTTGTCATTCATTCAAACTTGCAGGTTTTGAGAGCTTACTGTGTACCTGGACTGTCCTACATGTTGGGGTTTAACAGTGAATCATACATAGTCCTTGTTCTCCTGAAAATTATTCAGTGGGGAAAGCAGATAGTATCCATTCAGAGAGAGGTACGATGATTAAATGTTAGGTGACATGAAGGAAAAGTGTGAGAGGATTTGTGTCCAAGTTTCTCTAAGGAAGTGATATTTGAGCTGAAATCTGCAAGATGAATAAGCAGCACATGCCATGTATTGTTGAGTCACTTGTTTAAAAAAGCAAGCGCACGAGAGGGATGGGATTAAATACCAATTTTTTGGCAAGTGAGTAGCAACAGTGCCTCATGTGGACGGCTTTGTGTGTGTCCAGGAGAAGCTGCGTTGGGTCGGAACTGGTGGACTGGCTCCTGGAGCACTGCCCTTTCGTCCAGTGCAGGTCCATGGCCGTCGGGGTCTGGCAGCTCCTGCTGGACATGGGAATCATGTCATCAGGTTAGTGTCACGTTTTAAAGGCACAGCATCATTATTTTATGAAGCTACCAGACCAAAATATACTTGGCTTTCTAGAGGACGTTACGGTCTGGATGGAAGTTGTTTTTGCAGGTAAATATTTGCATTCTGTTTTATTTTATAAATAAAAGTGACAGATCATCTTCTGATTGTTATCTCTCTCACACCTTTTGTAAAAATAATTAGGTACCTGCTGATTCACAGATATGGACCACTGAGTCTTTCACTTACTGCCCCCCCTTCTCTACTCAGACGGGTGCTCACAAGTTTATTTTTTAAATTAGTGACACCTTTAATTGCCCCAAATGTGTGATTTATCTTGCCGTACTTAGAATTATCATCGGAAACTGATTTTATGAGTGGAACGTGTATGCCATTTTGATTGACTAAGTAATCACAAACAGTTAAAAGATATGACCTATGAACGTTAGCTGTTTAAACAGATAGAAAATTGATGTTAACTAGAAACTGAAAAGATGGTTGACATGTTTTCTTCACTGAGCTCAGTGAATTGAGGAACAGGAGTAAAACAATCTGGATTTTTTTATTTAGCTCCATCACACAGTGCTGGTTGGTCACTATGAGGCCCTTTTTCTTTATCCGTAATAAATATTGAGGGCCAGAGGACATTGTGAAGTTTAGAAAGGCATTCCCCGAGTCCCGCTGTGGAAGAGCGGTACCAATGCGGGTGTGGGAATAATTGAAGTTGGTGAGTTAACAATACCTTAGAGCATTAACAATACTTAGCACTTGTTATTCTTATCTAGTAAATCAGTTAGCTCCCTCTGAGGAATGTCATCATCTTGCTTATGAGTTCAACACCACATTTTGTTGATGTTAGCATTAATATAAACATTGTGTTAATAATTTTTGGAAAAATCCCTAGTTCTGATTCCTTTACCATGGTGTTTCCCAACCTTGGTAGTATTGATATTTTGGTTTAGATAATTCTTAGTTGTATGGGCATGTCCCATACAATAAGGAATGTGCAATGGCATTTCTTTCTTCTATGCACCAGATGCCAATAGCACCCCCTAGCTGTGACAACCAGAAGTATCTCCAGACATTGCCAGATGTTCCCTGGGGGGCAGTTACCCCCCTGGTTGACAACCACTGATGGAAACTCGACATCGTGTTGTATTTTTGTAACACTGAAGTAATTACATGTCTTAGTTTTCCTTGAGACACTGAAAAAAACTTTCTTCCCACTATCTTTGAATTACTGTGAATTTCGCCTGTCCCTAAAGCAGAAAAATAATAAAATATATGTGGATATGCTGGTCAGAGCTTCAAGTAATAAAAGTAGGTTGGTCAGTAGACCCTTTTTAGTTTGCTGGGATTGTGACCATGAGTGGACTTAGGATGTATAATTAGAGTCCCACCCGGCTTCTCCCTAATAATTAGTAGTGCTTTCGGTGTAGTATTTGGTTTACGACTCTCGAAATAACATATGTTGGAAAACTGATCCACACCTTTTTTGTCTCCAACAGTGGACCAGCATTTATACTTTCAAGATACCTATGTCTTCTATCAGTTTTCATCCGACGAGTGCAGCTACTTGTACTGTGAGTTCGAGAGAGAAGACGAGTGGCAGAACGGAGTCAGGCTGTTGCTGCAGCTGGTGCCCCTGCTCCCCGCCAGAGCCGGCCTCTGCGAGCTGTAAGTCGGTGCCACCGCTTTCTTCTGGGGCTACACTGTTGTCACTTTGAGAACATTTGCTGTGTCTGTCTAGGGACTGTGCTTTGCTCTTTAAGACCGCCGTCTCCTTCAAAAGGCGGTTTGTTCTGGTCCCATTTCTCAGGTGCAAGTTCAGAAAGATAAAATAAATCTTTAAAAATGAAGTCAGCGAATAAATGACTGAACCAGTATTCAAATTCCAGAAGTTGGCGCCTTGCCAGCCGCACCGTGCTGTCCCTTGTTTAGTTGTCACTATTTGAGGAGGTGAGGTGAGTGAGTGACACACATGATGTGGCTGGAGTCAGGAGTCTGACAGCATCTCATATCTTATCCACTCCCCAAGTCGTGGCTCTCCTGAGAAAGAGCTCCACAGACCTTTCTGAAAAATGATCGAGAAGCAACATTTGGGGAATGAAAACACATGAGTCATTGTCACATGAAGATACTGAGTCACTATATGATTAAAATGAGTTAAAATGAACTCGTTAGAGAGGGTTTGTGCGGAGGACGTGTCACGACAGGGCGAGGCTGGCGTGCCTCTGTTTGTCCACACGGTCAGTGACAAGCTTCCGCCGGTCCAGGGCCCCGCAGATGGAAGAGGTCAGTTGATGACTTTGACATCCCGAGTTCTCAGGATGCATTCCTGTACTGGCGACTCTTCCAGCTCGGTGAGACTGGCAGGGCCTGCGGTGGTACCCTCATCTCATGGGTAAGAAACACCTACAACCATAACAAAGATCAGGTACCCTTGTTCAACAATGACAGTTAATGCTGGAACAGTGAATATGGGCTTTTGGAACCATAAATGTTGGGACGCTGATGAGGCATTCTGCTAATGGAAAGGTTGATGGCAGAGAACACATTTTACACCAGGAACTAGGCTAAATGTTCTGTATCCCTTATTTCATCTTCTGAGGAAGATGATTTCTTGGAGACAGTGACTACTGTGTTTCCAGTGTTGTCAGTGAGGCAGCGGAAGCACAGAAGTCAGGTCACGTGTCCAGGTCACACAGGTGGAGTGTTGAGGGTTTCGGTGCGTGTCAGTCTAGCCCTAACGTCCTTGCTTTTCACACCTGCTTCCGGGTCCCCAGGGGTTACAGGCACCATTCTAGACCCCTCTCTGAGATGCTACAAACAGGAGCTATAAAAATGTTAGACAGGCTCTGACATGGTTATGAATTCGCCACCACTCTTTGTAGAGGACCTTGCCATAGTAAAGCAAAATTCAAACATAATGCCCCACTCAATTGGCTAAGTATGCAAAATGTTCCCTAGTGTAATATGCTTTTGATATAGGTCAGAAGTTTCCTGTGAAAAGTCAGGGAGCATTTCCATAAACTTGAACAGGCTTCCTAAGAAGAAGAGGTGTACTTGCTAAGCGAGAGGTGGCTGCGACTCCCTTCAGCCCTGTCATACGTTAGTAGCTCCTACCCGTTTCCTGTCCTGATTGCGGGATGGAGCTGGGGGCGTGCTCACGGGCATAGCCAGGTGAACGGGGGCGCAGAAGGGCAACTGGCCAGCAGTCCTCACATTCCAGCTCCTTTCCCTCCACTCTGAGAGCAGATTGCAATGCCAGTGGGTGAGATGACCTTGTACACAGGGAAACCCTACGTGTACCCCAAGTTCTAAGAATGAAAATGTTTAAAAAATTTGAGTCTTAACATTTATTCCAGATTCCTTCCAGTCTTCTGTCACACGGATCCCTCAACACAAATGTCATCTCTAGAGATGAGAATCACCATAGCTTGCCTTGTTTATCAGCAAAATTTTTACGTCGTTGTGAACATGTGCTTTGGGGAACAGTAATTCTTCTGGGAAAATGTGGTCATTGGGAAGCGCTGGATCTGCCAGTCCCAGTCCTGGCTATAAAAAGGTAAAATTACCGAACCACTGCAGGTCTCTTCTGGAGAGAGAGAACAGGGATATTTTCTGTAGTAGATCGAATGTTGGAAAGCCACGGTTTCGGTTATCCTGCCTTGGAATAAACTGCAGCCAGAAAGAGAGGTGCCCAGGGACATCGTCCCCTTTCAGTTGTCACAGCGCCTCCTGCCGTTTGATGCTGTGATCCTGTCGGAACGTCTGCTGGAATCAGGTGGTCTGCACTCCTCCGGCCCCGCCCACACCCATTTACACCCTCGTGGGCAAGGGATGCTCTGCTCTTCCCTCCGCCCAGTCCCGTGAGTCAGACTCACCCACCCCTCAAGGGGGAGCCCACGTCCTGCTTTGACCGCCAGCCGTGCGTGAGGTCTCCAGCCCGTGTCTGCCTCTCCTGCCGGAGCTCACTCTTCTTGCTGTTCGTATCAGAAACAATGTTTCTGTGTTTCCGTCATTCTTCGCCCTCTCCATCCTGCTCTGTAACCCATAACTTCGTATCCATTCTGCTGAAATGCCCTCTGACATCTGCTTGGTTCATCCACTTAGGCTGACCACTCATGAGCTGAGAGCCCAGCCTGTGGTCCTTTCAATGACCTTCCTGAGACTCGAAGGCCATTAAGGTCGGCCCGTGCGGTCCGCCATTCGGCCTCTCTGCTTTGCTGTCTTCTCTCTAACCCGCTTTAAAACTCTGCGAGGAAACCTCTTAATGTCTCCATGTAAACACAACCTGTTCTGTGCAAATGCATGTTTAAAAAAGAAAAGTGGTTTTCTTTTCCACTTTAAAGAAATGTTCAGAGCAGGAGAGAAAATGGAGCTGCTGCAGGTTTCAAGGCTAATTTAAGGCAACAAAATTCATCTTCCATACAAAATAACTTTTATATCCAAACTGAGTAGGTAATTTGAAAGAAGTGAGTGAATCGGTTGTCAAGGGTATTGTCTCTTGGGGAGAAAAATAGCAGACATGGCCCCTCAATCAAACTGAAAGCCAAATCCAGTTACTCCGAATGTGCTTTTCTCTACCTCTTTGGGGGGCTGGGGGTGGTAGGAATGCTGAAGTAACAGTTAGGGGAAGTCTGCCTAATGATTCCTGAGGGACTAACGGGGCATTTCTCTCTAACTCTGGCCCGTTGGAGAGTTTAGGCTGCGAGGAAGCTTCACTATTTAATTCAGCCACCATTGTAGGTGGGCGTGAGGGTCCTCTGAGTAGGCAAGTCTAAGAACCTGGGATACATAAAACTAACTTGTGCCAGTTACAGGACCATTAACATTTATGTTGTTTTTAAGAGAGCTGTAGAGGACTGCTAAAATTAAGCCCACGCCCGCCGCACACAGACATGCATAAAGAAAACATGTAGCTTCTTCATTTTCCCTCAGCAGTCTGCTGTGTGCTCCCTGCAGAAGCCTCCCTCCTGGTGGATAGTTGGAAAGAGAGAAAAGAGCCCCGTATTTTCGGTCTACTCCAGTAAAACCATTCGAATCAAGTCCGTTTGAAAGTCCTTTTCGTTAGCTGTTTAGTGTACCGCGGTAAAAAGGCTCAGCCTCTCTGCCCCCTTCCGCTGCCCCTCAGCCAGAGAGCCCGTGGGTCTCCGGTGGGGGAGTGGGCCCTGGACCCTGGCAGGGCGGGCCCTTCCCCTCCTCACTGTTGTTGCCTCGTGGGTGGGCAGCCCGTTCCCTAGTGACCCCGAGGTGGCCCCTGCGTCTGCTGTCAAGCCTGGGGCCGGGATCCCCTGGGTCTCTCTGTCCTGGCTTGATTGGCGCCCTGTGGTCCACTGGGCCAGTCTGCCCTCCCAGGCGCCTGCCGGCATTGCTTGTGCTCCTGAGGGGCTGGCTGTGCCTCCCACGGACATCTCCTCCAGCCGCGTGACCTCTGCTGAGGCAGCCCCCTCTCATCGCGTTCCAACCTGACTTTTCCCGTTTCTAACTACTTTCTTTAAGTCGTACCTGCCCTTTACTGTTGTTGAGCTGTGTACCAAACTGGCTGGTGTGCTAGCACTCAGATTTCTCACGAACTAACTCTAGGGAACGCTCGGGTCAGTGGGTTAAGATGGATTTCTTAGCATTCGTGACTCCATGCTCTAGAGAGGGAAGCAGAGGCCCCCGAGGGAGATGGAGCAGTGTGCAGGGCACGAAGCCGGGCGGACCGGTGGCGTGTTGGCGAGTGCAAGGCAGCTCGATATGCCCGCAGCAAGGGTCACACCCAGGAGAACTCGGGCTGGCTTTGAGAGGGGTGGGAAGAAGCCTCAGGCTGATTTCAGGGCGCTGCAAACCCACAGGGAAGCCACGCGTTGTCTTTACAATGAATAAAGAGAACGACTTGACTGTATATCGATGCTGCTGAAATAAGTAGTTTCTTACTTGAATTCACAGTAACATTTTTGTCCCGTGTCTGCTTGCTCAACATGTAGAGTTTATGGGTCTGCGATCTGTCTCTATGTTAAAGGAGTTCCCCTGCTTTAAACAATGGAGAACAGCTGACTTAGTCATTTTGCCTAAACTGCTCTGAGAGTGGCAACAATAAAAACAGCACTAACAGCAAGAGCTGACACTTCTGTAGCACTGGCTGCATACAGGGCGCTGTTCTGAGCACCGTGACCCATCTGGGTCTGGCTTTTTAGGCGAGGGGACTGAGCCAGGCAGGGTGACCTCGCTTGCTAAAGGGACAGGCTTCTGGACTTAGTGGCAGCCATGTGGACTGAAGGCAGACAGAGCTGGAAATGACCTCTGTCAGTGGTACTCAGCTGTGCTACATTTAAGCAGTAAAGAGGAATGAGATCCATTGAATCGGGTTAGAGAATGATACATGGATATCAGTAGTTTTTTGTACATTTCTGAAGGTGAGGCTAATACAGACCAAGGATGAGCACTACTGTTTTATGATGTTACCCTTGTAGAAAGAGCCCTGTTAAGTGATAGAAAATGTGAATGCTAATTAAATCAAAGTCTCAAAATACTATCTAGAGAAGCCAGGTTAATATTGCCATATAAAAATTTTTATCGAGCATGGTGCCTATCACCCCTCGGCTTATACTTCTGAAAATGCCATAAATTTAGATTCATAAGCATTTCTATCTGGAAGGTACTTCCTGGGTGACTGGGTTTGCCACTTG